TGCCCCACCCTGCTGCAGAACTCACAAGAGAACTTTCCCACCTGCGAAGCAGCCACGGGAATTATTCCTGCCCAAAAAAGCCCCAATCCCAGACCAAAGGGGCTTTGTGGCACTCAGCAACATGGCAAATGTTTGCACTCCTACTGTAGAGGATGAACACTTTACTGTGAATCCAATCCCTTTGCTGCAATATGGCACATATCTGGGAGGGAAGGTAACACATCAACCCATGGGAGAAATTCAACCCAGCCTTCTCCTCCTTCCCACATTTCCTCCCCTCAAATCTTTCCACATTTGCTCCCTGGTGGTGACAGGGAGGAGCTAACATACATGGGAATAGAGGTAGAGGTAAATGGCTTGCATATGCTGGACTGTGGCACATACTGTGCACACAGTTACCAGCTGTATGCTTAAAAAAGTTTCATCCTCACAGCCCCTGATCTCCTGAGGAGACACAGCAGGCCTAACTGAATTAACTAGCCTTCCCTGTATCCCCGGGCTCAGGCAAAGAAGACATGACATCCAAGTGCAGGATGGACAGCCATAATCACCCAGGCAACTCAAGGCAGATAAGAACAGCTCACCTTGAAAACAGCTCAAGCACAGGCAAGTTAGCTGACTTTGACCACAAGCTGAGAGCCAACAAAGCAGGTAGAAAAATGAGAAGTCGGGAGTGAAGGCTCTACCAGATGGGCTTAGAGCAGATTGTGTCAGACAGAGACTTCTTAGACTTCGGAGTACACAGGGGGTTTGGAAGTAATAACCTACTCCATTCAGAACAGGACTGACGTATACAAAGCCCCGTTTGGGTACAGCAGGGCTTTGGGGCAAATCATGGAGCTGAAAAGAGAATCAAAGCACTATAGAAAAGGTGTCAATCTAAAGAGTAAGAGTTACAGTTTTATCTTCAAGGCTCCTTGGAAACAGCACCACCTCATTCAGTTGCAAAAAGAACACGAGATGAATGGGTTACTTTCTCTTCCCCCTCTAGACCCTTATGTTATAGAAGAATATGTAAAACCCTTTACTACATTTAGACCACATCCAGTGTGGGGATTTACATGCCCACAAACCCATCTCTTCCTGCCTTCTTGACAGAGAGAGATGTCAACACATCTCCCATGTGCTTACTTCCCACTACACAACAGTCTTTTCAGGCTTATCAGAGGCATGAAGCAGCCACAAAGTGAATGAAATTACAGCATTTGCGTATTTGAGAGAAACACCTGGAAGCAGCTGCAACATGAAAGTCATCACAGCGAAAGTCGATTCTGCCACTCAGTATACCAATTATATACTCTCAGGCTCAAAGGCAAAACTCCCAATTAAATGGAGCCAGAGTAAACAGGCATCTGACTGAAAAAATCATGTAGAAATCTGGGGCAAAAGTGACGGGCTTATTAGAACTGCTTTGTCTCTATGGCAGCCTGCAAGGTTGCAGTCCACTCTATCACGTCATCATATGACATCCTAATAGACCTTTCAGTAGCTGTGCATAAGGATCTGAATTGATGCCTACTTTTAATATGTAACAGGTATTTCCATATCACAGATAATCAGTTTTATAGTTCATACAAACCATGTTTTCAACATTTTTGTAAATAGTGTTCAATACCATTCTGATGTACAAACACAGGTAGTGAACACTATGTGCTGATGTAGTCTACAGCAGCACAACAGACTATTTTTGGGGGATCCTCAACAAACCAAGTCTTTGCTCCCAATTTTCTACTTGATCACATTTATTCTTAAGTGAGAGACATAAAATCAAATAAAGCAATGATGCTGTGGCAAAAGTAAGACAAAAGACTACAGAATAGAATCACAGAATCATCAAGGTTGGAAGAGATCTCTAAGACCAAGTCCAGCCATCCAGATAGACACATCCACAGCCTTCCCTTCATCCACTAGATGCACCACTTTGTCATAGAAGGAGATCAGGTTGGTCAAGCAGGACCTTCCTTTCGTAAATCCATGTTAGTTGGACTTGATCCCCTCCCCTATTTCTTGGTGAAGAAAAAAAGAGATTCCAAACACATTACATATTCAACTGGAAACATTGTTGGAAAAAAAATGTTTAGAGCTCAAAACAACTCCAACTGTTTCCCTGATTAATTGTTTCACTGCAAGAAACACAGATACACTAAGAAAACTAGTTAGGAGATTAGAAGGAATACAAAGCTAAAACGTTTTCTACTTGAATTGTGGCTATTACAAAAAAGTGACTGGAAAGTGGAAACCCCCCTTCCCAGATATACTTGCTTACATCCTATTTTCAGCCTCATCACCTAGTTTCCCCTCTGGAAAACCCTGGCTGCAGGAGAAGTCTCACAGTCTGGCATACCTAAAATGGGCAGCATATTTTTACCACATGTCTGCTTTCACAGCACAAAGGCAAGTAAAAAGTCCCAAATTTATTTCTGGAAACATCTGATACATCACAACACCACTACCCCCACATCCATGCTCAAAATTCACTGAGGAAGCAGACTTTAACCTGCATGGCCAAGAGTAAACACACCAAGTTCATCCCCATTCAGTCTCCCAATGACTGCCTGCTGATACGGAACTGGAGCAAGGTCAACTTGAAACTAGCAAGTGGGTGGCCCCACAGTGCTAAATGATGGCATTTCAGCTATCACACAGATTAACAGAACCTACCAACATCAAAACTTCATATAGCGTCTCAAGTCTTTGTTTCATTAGATTGCATTCATTGCATTAATCAGTTCTTACACAGGGGGAACATAATTTCTTCTACTGCGCAGCTTGAGTGTGAAGATCCTGTTACCCTGAACTCCCTTCTTAAATGTCCTCACCTTAGTACTGCTAATCTAGTGCAGTCCTTGAAACATTTGAAATTTTCAAGCCATACAGCGTGCAATAAAACACACCTTTTTGCTTCATCTTAAGATATTACAGAACACCAGTACTCATTAAATACTTTAAATTATTGCTATATTTTTAAGGATAAATTTATTCTCCTGTAAAATTTACATCCAACTCAGATAAAAGATCCCGAACTGAAGAGAAAATCTGTGCGGAAATTTGATGTCTGAACAATAGGCTGCATGTACTACAAACGCCCCAACACTAATTTTCAGTTGTCTATAATTGTTCCATACATGCAATGTCTGCGCCTGCTGAAAGCCTGAAGAATTAAACCTGGTGTCCTCTTCCATATTTTCAGAGCTGGTGAAGAACTGAGGTGCCAGCTGCAGCAAACATTCATCAGCACTCATAAAGGCAAAGCAAACCAAACCCACCTCGAGATGTGGCATGGGCTCCATCTAGCGGGGCTCAGCTTCATTCCACATTGCTACTAACGAATCAGTTATCTCCACACAAAATGAGTAAGAAATAGAGTCCTGGAATCATTACACTTGGAAAAGACCTCCAGGATCAACGAGTCCCACCTTTGACGGAATACCACCTTGTCAGCTAGACCACAGCACCAAGTGCCATATCCAGTAGTTGCTTGACTACCTCCAGGGATGGTGACTGATCACCTCCCTGAGCAGTCCATTCCAATGCCTGACCACCCTTTCAGCACAGAAATTCTTCCTGATGTCCAACGTGAACCTCCCTTGGCACAGCTCGAGGCTATGCCCTCTTGTCTTGTCACTAGCTGCCTGGGAGAAGAGGCAAATCCCCAGCTTGCTACAACCTATTTCAGGTAGTTGTAGAGTGTGATAAGGTGTCCCAAGCCTTCTTTTCTGCAGGCTAAACACCTCTAGCTCCCTCAGCCACTCCCCATAGAACTTACTCTCCAGACCCTTCACCAGCTTCACTGCCCTTCTCTGGACTCATTCCAGCACCTCAATGTCTTTCTTGTAGCCATGGGCCCCAGCTGAACACAGTACTCGAGATGTGGCTTCACCAGTGCCAAGTACAGGGCAACAAGCACTTCCCTAGTCCTGCTGGCCACAGGGATACAAGCCAGGATGTCACTGGCCTTCTTTGCCACCTGGGCACACTACTGGCTCAGGTTCAGCCAGCTGTTGGCCAGCACCCCCAGATCCTTTCCTACTGGGCGGCTTTCCAGCCACTTTTCCCCAAACCTGTAGCACTGGATGGGGTTGTTGTGACCCTCAAGTACAAGACCCAGAACTTGTCCTTTGTTTAACCTCATACAGTTGGCCTTGGTCCATGGATCCAGCCTATCCAGATCCATCTGCAGAGCCTTTCTGCCCTATAGAAGATGAACACTTCTGCCCAGCTTGGTGTTGTCCGCAAACTGACCGAGGATGCACTCAATCCCTTTGTCCAGGTCATGGATAAAGATACTAAACAGGACTGGCCCCAATACTGAGCCCTGGGCAACCCCACTAGTGACCAACCACCAACTGGATGTGGCACCATTCTCCACCATTCTGGGCCCAGCCATCCAGACAGTTTTTTACCCAGTGAAGAGCACACCTGTCCAAGCTGTGGGCTGCCAGCTTCTCCAGGAGAATGCTGTGGGAGACAGTATAAAAGACTGAAGTCACAGAACCACAATATACTATAGTGTATGGGAATTACACCCTGTCCTATACTTACCATGACATTTGAAATGCTTGATACACCTAATGTATACTCTAAGTATAAATATGTAAGTGTATCTTTAACACTGAGGAGTAGCTGATTGGTTGGGAAAGGTGACTGGATGAAATGATAATTGGTTCTTCTACTTTTCCGCAGACTTAAAAATTAACTTCTGAAGGATTAAAATATTATCATGCCTTTAAATTTTTTTTATATAAAACCCCCACGTTTTTATTATTTCAGTATCCATTAACAGCTGGCTGAAAATATAAGAACAAATATAACATGAAAGATGTTGAGATTTAGACCTATTTTATAAACACAACTGAAAAAGACACATAGTTTACTTCAGTATCTAATGGTCTATTAATGTTTAATGCAAAGAAGAAAACCTGTGATGTTTCTGATATGTCTGAACATTAATTGTATAAGACCCCCCCTAGCCAATGAACCTGGCAGCATGGAAGACCTACCTGTGGGCTTGTCTTTCTAAAAGTGTCAGATCCATGTATCACATCCTGTATTATTCTTTCGCTGAGATTATTATACTCCTCTTCAGTGAGGTTACTATCCTCCAACTGATGGTTGCAAACTGGGCATTGTCCACTGCAATAATAGTGAAAAGAAAATAAAAGGAAAAAGGCTTTTAAATGAGAAGTACCTTAAATATGACTAACTTATCAAGCGTGTGTGTATGAGCACAAGTCTTTACAAGAATCCCAACACAGTACAAACAGCAGCTTTAAATTGCTATCTCCTGACAACTAATCACTACTTGTTTCTTTATTGCTAAAAAACTTGCGTTCTTGCTCTGTAACACAAATATCATCACATGGATCTAGAAATGCAGACAGCTGCAGATGAAAAAGCTGTGCAGCTACAGTCAACCAATGCCACCATTCAGTGTTTATTTCCCAGAGCCAGAAACACCACTCTGCTAGCACAGCTGTGTCAGGGATTGTACAACTGCAGGCAGCACTGGGACAGTTTCCTTCATCATTCACATCATCCACTTCTTAGTTTTCCTGCTGCAGGGCCAGCAGCTATTGTAACAATTGTAGCTCTGCAAATCCCAAGTCATACATTGTTTTGTCTCTGACACATGCAAGAACTCTCCACTGATCTGTCCATGCATGCTTTTAATATTAAAAGATCAAAGAGATAGAAAATCCACCATAAAAGAAAAGGTTACAGAACAGAACAATAGGGGATGTGGAAAATCAGACCTCAAACTCTTTAGTTTCCTTAAGAGTAGTGCTGGCATGTGACAGCAGATCCTGAAAAATTTTCCAGAACAGCACAAGGGAGGCAACACTACAGAGAACACTCAGATCCACACCAGCCAAGAGGCACAACTTCTTGTCTAACCAGCCTAGTGACACAGAGACTCCCCAGCACTAGGAAAGGCCATCAAAACAAGCCACAACCACGAGAACCATGACAACTGCTCTGAGTTGGGTTTTTGTTCCTCCAGCCTGCTAGCACAGCACACACATAATTCCAAGATGCAAACCAAGACAAGTTTAACTTGCATGGCCACCTCTGGATTTTTGTATGATCCCCCAGAACTGTATCTTGAGAGAAAGAATAAACATATTTTTTAATATCTAGCCTCTTCTGTTGTTTCATGTCCCACAACCACAACCTCAGAGCTAACACATAGCCTGAAGGAAATCAAACTGGCTCCATATTCCATTTGTTCATTCTTTTATTTCCTAGTTATCTCTCCCATTACTCCCTATAAACTAAATACATAATCAATACAACACACAACTCCATACCTAGGTCAGAAATGTCTGTCATGCATCCCTATTATGAACCTCTGGGCCCACCACAAAGTCAGCCTGTAAGGTAGTGTCACAGCAGAGCACTGAGACAATCAACCTGCATCTCTGTGCTTGAACTGTGAACTACATTGACCTCTTTTTTTTCCATAAAAACTTATCTGAAACTTTTGCAGATACACTTTCTAAAGACAAACCAATGAGCTACAAATATACATAGACTTCATGGGTACAATTCTTGACTCGCACCTCTGATCATGGGTTAAACACAGATTCTTTCCCAAGCAGAATGCTTTAATAACTACACAAAAAAGAAAAAAGAAATGGTCAGATAGGACATTAACATACACTAAGGAATTCCCAGTCATTCATGTCTGCTCTCAAACACTTCTGCCAAAAGTATCAGACATGAGATCCAGCTTGCAACTTCATCACCAGACTGGACACTCCAGTTATGGTACCAAGAAAACAAGCAGAATCCATTCGTTTCTCCAACAGGCAGAGAACTAACACTTAAGTCTGAATGAGTTTTTGGTTCTTCCGGGCTGATGAACAGTTATTTTCTTTTTTTTTTTTTACTGCTTGCTCCCACTTGAGCTTCTCTTACATGCAGGATATGTTGTTGATGTTTCACATTTTTCTTTTCTATCATGCTGTGTTCAGA